CAATAATGATGGTGATAATGATGATGACGATGATGACGATGATCATCTTTTTTATTTAGTTGAATTATCTTTCAGAATTACTACCAACATACGGTGATTATTAATGGTGTAATTTCTTTAATGTACATAAATTATTTTTCATTTCTATATAACCTATCTTTCATTCTTTTTCCTCTCTTCTCATCATTTGTTCTTTCATTATTGGTTAATATTGTTGTACTAATTATCACAAAGTATTTTGCAATAAAAAGAAAAAAATGGCCATTTAAAAAACTTCATTTTTGAAAGTTTTATGGAATTTATTTTAATGATAAAGATTGACAATGAAGTGCGAAATATTTCTTGATAATTGAAATAAATAAAACACTACCTGTAATCTTCCAATATTTACTTATTTACCGTATGAAAAACATTAATGATAGCATGTATGATAAGTAGATATTGTCACTCATATCACTCGTTACTATTGCTTGTTAGTATATTAAACAAGAGTTAATGAGTGATGCTTTATTAAAATTGTAACAAATCGCGAAAGAAAATGGAAATGCTTTCAAGCGGCAGTATCCCAGAAAATTGGATTAAAGCGGATTGCTTTCAAAGGCATTCCATTTATCTCAATTTAAATCCTTTCCTTCCTCTTCCTTCCCCTTTCTCTCCCTTTCTCTCTCTCTCCTCTCATCTTCTTCATTTTCAGAAGAAAACCTTTATAATCAAACCAATGCCATTTTATGCTTTTCTTCCAGCCCTTCCATCTTCTTAATTCACATGTCCTTCCATTCTACCATCCATTTACATTCCATTCTTTCTCCCATATACTCCAATTATGCTTCTTCCATTTTTATCGTTTCAATTTCATACCCCAAAATTTAATTCAATAACGGAATTTTGCAGCTCATCACCTCAAGTGCGTTTTTATTTATTAAAACACGTTTTCTGGGGATTTCCTCTAAAGTATTGAGAGAAAAAAGGGAAAGAAACGAGAAGAAAGGCAAATCACTTCATATATTATTTTTATAATAATAATCCATCATCATCACTAACAATAACAATAGCAACAATGTACTGGTGATAATGCTAATTAATATTAGTGTCATTAACATTTATACTGAGTCGGATGATATTTTAGTCAAAAGTTTCTCATCAATTTCATTTTTTATCAGCATGAAAAATTAAAGTATCTGCTTTTTTTCTTATCAATAATTCTATCTTCAAGTATGAAATCACTTGTGATTGATATTAACTATATCGTTTGGAATAAAAAAAGAAAAATTGAAGTTGATTTGAATTTTAATAAGAAATAATTTTTTTTGTTGCATCCATCTATTAAAATATCAGCCAATAGCATTCCATAAAAAGTGATTCTATTCAATTTTAATTTTAATAAAACCGCATTGAAACAGAATGCAAAATATTGTAATTGGATATAAATAATTTAGGGTAGGCAAAGCGGTAGGACTTATTTCTTCAAAGGTAATAAGTTAAATGATGAAAACCTATACATTTACATATATGTCTGTGTATGTGTGTGCAACATGAATTATATATGTTTTCTTATAGTAATAAGTGGCTACTTCTGAACCGCGAAACAATTCAAGAAGAAGTGTCAAATTGCGACATCGAGTATTAATAAGTGGCACTTCTACCCATTTCATCATTCATATCCTACCGAAAATGGAAAAATGGAAGTAAAATAACCATAATGATCACTGAATTGTAACCTTTGAAGTACAATAATTGCCTACAAATTAATTTCAAAAAATTATTGCTTATATATATATGTATATGTGTATAAGAAAGATGAATAATTATCATAGATAATTAATCAATCAATATTGCCATTTTGTAACATTTTGCATATACTTCCTACACACATATATGTATATATATATTCCATTTTCACTTGAACTAATTTTTTGATTTAGATTTAAAGCATATATATTTTACAAATAAATTAAAAAAATATTATTGTACCCCACAAAATGTCCATCCTATAACAATTATTTTTTCTTTTTTAGATTTAATTTTTGTGAACAGAATTACTGCAATCATACTCAATTATATGTTTTTTTCGACATCACTTTTGTTATATATTGATATAATTTCGTCACTTAACCATGAATATGAATGATTAAAAGGTCAAAATGATATGATATTTACACCTGCAAATCGCATGCATACAACTGAAAGCTGCATGAATGAATGCATTCATGCTAGCATTTTATGTGAGGTAGCAATTATTAAAATATATTTCGTTATGCTCACTTATTTCATTAAAAAGAGTGGTTTTTTTTTAATGTCAAGCGAAAAAAGAAAAGTTACAAAACAGTGCGAAAAAGATGACAACATGCTATTATTAGTGCTACTGTTAATGGGTTTATTTAATTCGCTTTCGCAAGCAATTTAGTTCTACCACTTTTTTTCCTCTCTCTTCCTCTCTCTCCCTCTCATTAAATTGTCATCCTAACCCATTCCATTAATTTTTTGAAAATCATTTTTCTTCTTCATTCACACACAAAATTACATCAAATGGCCAAATATTCTCGTTACCACATATGAAAAAGATGGAAAAAAAAAGGTAAAAAATGCTTTCTCACATGAAAACAAAACAAAAATAGACATAAACATGGGAGAAAATCCGTAAAATTTTATTTTTATCGGATAGCATTCTTCTTGAGAAAATAAATATTATTGATTAGGATGGAATGAAAGATAAGCGAACGATATCACACTGTCACTGAAATAATAATAGTGGTAATGATAGTGACAGCAATAATAATAATGACAAATAACAAATAACAAATAACAAATAACAAATAACA